GCCACCCACCATGGTGCCGGCTGCCGCCGAGGACCGGACCGCCCGCCGCTTTCCCGACGCGCACTGCGCCACCGCCCGCCTAGAGGGGCCCCAGCGGCGCGCGACTGCTCGGAGGACTTGCCTGGAGCGCCCTCGCCCGGCGTGGCGAGCTCTAGGTGGGCTCAGTCCGCAGCTCGGGGCCCCCGGACCTCCGCAGCCCGCGGTGCCCGGCGTGGGTCTACTCGGGGCTGCAAGAGCGGCTCGCGGTGCACCCCGCGGGAAGCCGGTGGGGAAACTGAAGCCCCCAGGCCCAGAGTCGGGGTGCCCCTCCCCCTCCAAGTCGGCAGCTGGATGCCAGCCAGAACTACACTGTGTCCTTCTTGCCCTGGGGATTCCCCAGGCAACGCCTTATCCCTGCCGGGGTGCCCGGGCTACTGTTGGATGCCCCCACTTCTGGGGATTTATACGTGTAGCTGCCGTGGGATTATCCTTGGTCGATTCCCAGGGGTCTCCACACCCTACCCAGGCTGGGGCCCGTCCTCCTGGAGCAAGTCATCCACCCAATGACCCAGGCACTTTGCTAGGTGCTGGAGACGCTATCAGAGCAAACTCAGAGCCCTGCTCTGATGAACTTTACCAGCTTGTGGAGGAGATAGACGTGGGTGAAATAATTGCTCAAGTAAACGGAAATTTTCAACTCTGACAAGTATCCATAGAGAGAAGACCAGAGTGCTACAATCATGAATGATCATGGGACCTGGTCTAGTCTTGGGGGTCAGGGAAGTGATGCTGGAGAGCTGAAGAAAGAGCAGGAGTTAGCTGAGGAAAGTGAAACGGGCCATGGTAAGAGACCCTGGCCTGGTGAGAGAAAAGCAAGATAATGGAGTCTCAAGGACTCTCTGACCTTCCTTCAGCCCAACCCCTGTCAGTCAGTCTTCTGAAGCCCGCTGAAGTTCCTTATCTGCCTAAAGTCAGGACTGACAAAGAAGAAAGCAGTTACCTCTGTGCCTTTAGAGTTTTCATTCACTGAACTCATCTCTCAGGAAGAAAGACTGAAGTCTGTCAACACACCTGCACAGACTTTTGTCACAAACCATTATCTGCTCTACAGGCTCAGACTTTGTCCCAGGCCATTGTATGTTCTTCAAGTCCATTGAATTACCCTAAAAATAATTTACTAACCCCCTAAAATCATCTACACTTCCCCGTAGTCTTTCCCTTAAGGAGGGTTTATAACCATCTGTATCCCATTACATGGTGGGGTAATCACTCTGATCCTCCTCCACCTTGCTCATGAGTAAGTTTGTATGCCTTTTCTCCTTTTAATTTGTCTTTTGTCAGTTGATTGTCCGCAAACCTTCAGTGAGCAAAGGAGACAAAATGTCCCTTGGCTCTTATGTGGGAAATCACTAGAACCTCCAACAACCTTGAGAGATTATTGACCTAATGGGCTTCTCCATTGTCCCCCATCAAATGTGGGTTGGTATACAGAGATGGGGCTAGAATCCAGGATCGAGGGCTCCAGTACAGGTCCTACTGTGAGTGCAGCCTGTGGGGAGAGCTGATGATGGGCTGTCTACCTCTTCCGCAGCGTCCTTTGGGGCATCAGGGCTCCCAGCAGGCAGAAACCCAATAGGACATGGAAATAAATAGCAGTCTGGGGAGAGGACTGAGCCTGGAGTCATAGCACCAGGCTTAGTGAACTCACATTATGATTCAATACAGTGGGGCATGCCGCTCATGCTCAGGTGGGGGCAGGGAGAGTGTGAACCAGAGTCTGTGAAACCAAAGATAGACTCAGCTACTACCAGCAATTGGGAAGAAGTGCCCAGAGCTGGAATTTTTTTTTTTTTTTTTTTGAGTTGGAGTCTCACTCTGTCACCCAGACTGGAGTGCAGTGGCCACTCCCGGCCACCGCAGCCTCGACCTGCTGGGCTCCGGCGATCCTTCCGCCTCAGCCTTCCAAGTAGCTGGAATTACAGGCACATGCTACCACGCCGAGCTAATTTTTTGATTTATTGTAGAGATGAGGTCTCACCAAGTTGCCCAGGCGGGTCTCGAACCTGCCGGCTCAGGCAATTCACTCACCTCAGCCTCCCAAGGCGCGGGATTACAGGCTGAGCCACCGAGCCTGGCTTGGAATTTCTAAAACTGAGTGCAGATCACATGTCCTGAGAGGCTTATTAAAATGGTAGATTCCGGGCAACTCCTTCGGGTCCCCTCCCACTGTGGGAGCTTCTCTGTCCTCTCCATAAATCCTGCTTTCTCAACAACAACAACAACAACAAAAGGCAGATTCCCCCAGGTCCACAACTGGATGCTCAGAATCAAGGCTCCAGGTAACCCTGCTTCCACCTGCAGCTGGCCAAACATTGAAAAACACTCAAGGTTGTTGAGGGTTCTCTGAGCCAAATTCTTGGTCACCTGATTGTACAGTGCAGAGGCTGATCCAGAAATAGGAACCCAGGCTCTGTGAACAGCAGCTGCAGCTACACAGCCAACCCTGCCTGTGTGGTCTACAAAAGCTTTGGATCGAGCAGTAACTACCTTGTTAAGCATCACCTTTGACAGTGATAAACAGATGCACATGTGCAATGTACATACAAACATACACATAGTTATAAAAGAAGTATAGAAGAGGTATTCTTTTTATATAATGTGAGTTTTTTGTTTAAGATTAGGAAATATAGTTTATTTAGAGAGTAAATTGGAGAGAGAGAGAATGAGAAAGAGGAGATTCACCTGCCCAAGTTACGGGAGGGGGCCCAAACCAGGAAACATGGCCTGGCCATAGCTCAGAGGGCACACAACCACATCTTAGCTTAGCAAGGCAATGGCCATAATGTGAAATTTTTAACATTATATTTTCTTTTTTTTTTTTTTTTGAGTTGGAGTCTCACTCTGTCGCCCACACTGGAGTGCAGTGGCCGCTCCCGGCCACCGCAGCCTCGACCTGCTGGGCTCCAGAGATCCTTCCACCTCACCCTTTCAAGTAGCCGGAACCACAATGCGCGCGCTACCACACCCGGCTAATTTTTTATTTATCGTAGAGATGAGATCTCGCCAAGTTTCCCAGGCTGCTCTCGAACCCGCGGGCTCAGGCAATCCACTCACCTCAGCCTCCCAAGGCACGAGATTACAGGCTGAGCCACCGATCCCGGCTTCATTTATTTTTGTAGCTAAATAATATTCCATTATGTGGATCTCCCTCATTCATTAGCTGCTGGATATATGGGTTGAGTATACATTTTGGCTATTATGAATAATGTTCTGCTATGAGCATTCATTACAAGTTCTGGTATGGACATGTGTTTTCAATTGTCTTGGGTATTTAGTAAATTGCGGGGTCATATGGCAACCCTATGTTTAACTTTTTTTTTTTTTTTTTTGGAGTTGGAGTCTCACTCCGTCGCCCAGACTGGAGTGCAGCAGCACACTCGTAGCCACTCCAGCGTCGACCTGCTGGGCTCTGGCAATCCTTCCACCTCAGCCTTCTAAGTAGCCGGAACTACAGGCGCACACTACCATGCCTGGCTATTTTAATTTTATTGTAGAAACGAGGTCTCCCCAAGTAGCCCAGGCTGGTCTCAAACCCACGGGTTCAGGCTATCCACTCACCTCGGCATCCCAAAGTGCTGGGATTACAGGCTGAGCCATCAAGCCTGGACTGCTTAACTTTTTGAGAA